GGTGAAGTTTGCCAATTTCAAACAGGAGATTCTGATATATTTGTCTTTTGTGCTCTTCTTTGGCTGTGATGTTGTATTCAGCCGGGGCCGAAAACTCTATGACATAAATGTCACGAGTAGCCTTGTCGAAGAGCACAATATCAGGTTTGTTGTGATCTATCCGCCGGGTTGTTGCAAATGGCATGTTCCAATAGATTTTGCAACTGTCATTCTCAACAACCTGGGGAATATCTCCTGGCAGATAAGGCAGCACTGGTGTCACGTCAATACCGTAGCAATGACGAAGATAATAGTATTATTATTATTATTATTATTATTATTATTATTATTATTATTATTATTATTATTATTATTATTATTATTATTAATAATTAAAAAAAAGTAAACTTATGTGGGATTCGAACTCGTGCCCCTAAGCATTATGAAAAATTATTATCAGTATTATTATTATTAATATTATTATTATATATTTTACGACCAATACTATTATTATTATAGCTAATATTATGATTATTTAACGTCTGGTTTAACGGTAAAGACGTGAAAATGGGAAAAAACTCCACAAGTTACCGTTAAACCAGACGTACGCTCATAGAGCACTCAATGCTGTAACGTCTGGTTTGATGGTAAAACTATCTAAAAATTAAGTTAGAAAAAAGTACCGTCAAAACGGAACTTGAATTTCGACTCGGGAGACTGCAGTTCTATTTTTAAAATTAATTTGTTCCGTATGACGTATCAGTTTCTATCCCCTTATAAATTTTAAATATACAACTTTTATCAAAAATTTCGGCTTATATAAGCATGAACTTTTTAATTTTCCATGCCAAAACGATTATTTTTAACGACGAATTTTGACGCAATGACATAAAATTTTTGACTGTGTTCTATTGAATACGTGAAAAATAAGATTATTTAGTAAAAGTTTAAGTTTGATAGCATGAAAGTACCAAAATATATCAGTTGATATTGATAGGCGATAAGTCCTTTCAAGGTGTCTGTTATTATTTTAAGCTACGCCTTAGTCCATTGCAGTAGTGTCGAAGGCTGCTAAATTGTAGAACACACAAATAATTTTTTATTTCCTATACGTTTTAATTAAAAAAAACTTCAATTTTAAAAGAAAACAATAAAATTATAATTACGGAATAAACCTTGAAGAAATTTTTTTTTTACTTTACAGAAAAACATATGTTAATGGAGCGAAAAAAATACATAGCCGTCCCAAATAAATCACTCTAATATACATAGTAAAAAATTTAGCGTCATCGCGTCAAAAAATTTAGTGTTAAAAATTTTTGACTGTGTTAAAAATTTAGTGTTAAATATTTAACACTTTTATGTGTAAATTTAACATTTATTCTGTTAAATCAACACAAAAAAGTGTTAAATATTTAACATAAAAATTTTTAACATAAAAATTTTTAACATAAAAATTTTTGACGCAATGACGCGAAATTTTTTACTGTGTATAATAAATTATTAATAATTAATAAATTAAGTATAGAACTTCGTCAGCTATAAGGATAAGTCATGTAAAATTTAAATTACTTTAAGTAGTTTGAAAGGTACAAGAGAGTTACGATAAGTCATTAGGTCAACAGGTAAAGTATCAGTCTATAAAGCGCAACGTAATAATATATATATATATATATATATATATATATATATTTATGTAATAAAACGCACAGCTTGTGGACACGATAACTCCGACAATTCTTAATGAATCTTTATGAAACTTGGTAGACTTATTCTATAGACAATTAGCTTGGATGAGTTTAAAAATGAGCTGAATCCATCAAATAGTTTAGAAATGGCAGCCGTTTGAAATTTTCGAAAATCTAAAAAATCACATGTTTGGTGAGTTTACTAAGGAATAACTTTTTATTGAGAAATGATAGATCGTTTTTCTGCATTTTGTTTCAAAGCTTATGAAATTCTCTTTAATTTAACCTACAACAAATTTACTTTCATCAATTACTCCAAAAGTTTAAGAAGCTGAATGTCATCTGAATCAGTTTCAGATAAGCACACAACACAACGCGACTTGTGGACACGATTACTCCCAGAATTCTTAATGAATCTTTATGAAATTTAGTAGACTTATTCTATATACAATTAGCTTGGATGAGTTCAAAAATGAGCTGAATCCCTCAAATAGTTTAGAAATGGCAGCCATTTGAAATTTTCGAAAATCTAATAAATCACTGTATTTTAAAATTTGGCAGCCGATTTACTTTTCTGATAAACTTGAGGAATAATAATTATTCATAATATCGTAATTAAAATCATGGATTACATGAAATCTACCTTCCATCTTGGCTGGTGCCAAATGGCCTTTTATTTTTGAGTAAAATCGTCATTTTTTCGAAGTCCGCCATTTTCTTTTTTTTTTTTCTCAAAAAAAACTTTAATTAATTTGACAACTATCCCTGCCAATCCCGAGCAGGGCCGATTTTTATTATATT